AAGTGGGGAGTGGACCTGACACCCTCTCGGGGGTCCGGGGGCATGCTCCCCCGGGAAGATTGTTTTTTTAAATATTGAAGTTAGATGTATCAATCTGGTGCACTTTGAGAGCAAAATGAAGAGATATATGGATACCTCTCAACATCCATATGAAACAACTGTAAACAGGTTTACTTTTTCTTTATGGATATAAAAGAAAGTAAAGCCTGACTCCTACTGGCGGCTGGTTAAATGACTCCTCGTCCCTGAGTACACTCACCATCTTTCAGCAGGAAAGGAGAGAAGAAATCCTTGTCCAGCGACAACCGCTGTCTTTTCGCACTATTATTAAACCACGCTAACATTTTCGAAATGCTAACGTTATGTGATGTCTTTTCTGCTCTAGTCTATCGCTGCGGCGCGTCTTAGATGGGTAAGCTGGGCATATTTGTTGTCATGCGTCATGGGCTGCGTCTCAGGTCGACTATTTTACTTCTCGGTATCACCGGAAGTTGATTTGTCTGCGCCATCTTGAGTAGCGTCCCATGGCTCTTATTTTTGCCGGAGGACCGAGGACCGAGGATCGATAATGGAGGAGCGATAATGGAGGAACCACCAGACCATCCTCCGATGAAATCCTCAGATACTTTCCCCGCCCCCTTACTGTGTATCGCTCACTGATTGGATGATGCAGCGTGATGCTTCTTGACATGAGAGCAGTTTCCCAGCGGAGTGAAGAAAATACATGAAACTCACGGGACTCAATCCTCAGTTTATACTGTGTTTTGTTTCAATTAATGTATCATTTAGTTACAAATATGTGATATATCTGAACAACAAAGTGTCAAAAATCATTTTATTCATTTATTGGAAACATTTTCATGTACTAACAAAGAATTACTAACAAATAATTACTAACAAAGCACTTATATACTAATAAAGGACTGGCTTATCTATAGCCAGTTGAGTAGCACTTGAAATGTTTGGCTCTATGAAACCTAATGTACTTATATGATTCTGTTTTCTTCAAGGTTGTGTCTTCCTGGTCGAATGTACTTATTGTAAGTCGCTTTGGATAAAAGCGTCAGCTAAATGCAATGTAATGTAATAATCGCTTTTTTCGTTTATACATTTTAAGAATGGCGTTTATCTTTTTTGAGGATGAGTTCTTATTTTATTTATTTGGGTCTACAACAGATGATACAAATGTATATGTCAGTAAATGTGTAGGCCTACTAACAGAGTAGGGTGTGTGTGAAAACAACGGGGACAGAGCTGCTGTCAGACATCAGCTGTGCGGTGTCATCACAAACGGACGTCGCTTCACGTCAAGGTGCCGGTACTCAGTAAGATGCCGGTACCACATGGGTAAAAATCAGAAGTGCCGGTACTGCGTACCGGTGAGTACCGGCCCAATTCAAACACTGTAGTCGGCCTATACTATGTCGAAAATGTAAGAGAAACGGTTGCCAAATTATGCCAAAAAACTACTTAATATGTTAATGAAATCTGAAAAGACCATGTAGTATAATCTCTCAAAAATGTCTGAAAAAAAGTCCTATTATAGTATGTGAAAATGAGCTGAAAAAAATACAGCAGAAAAAAACGACATAGTCTACTATAATATGTCGTTTCAAAAAAATATTTATATAATATATGTCTCTTTCTTTCTAATATTTTCGACATACTTTGTTGTTTTTTTAGCTTATTTTAGAAATACTATACTACGTTGTTTTAAAAAAATATTTTATACATGCTACAGTATACTGTCATTTTTCTGATAATTTAGACAAACTATACTATGTTGTTTTTTTGCATATTTTGGACATACTATACAATGTTGTTTTTTTGGATAATTTAAACGTAGCCTACTATGCAAAGTCGTTTTCTCTGATATTTTTGACATACTTTACAATGTAGTTCTTTCTGATATATTCGACAAACAATGTACAAAACGCATAGAATGTTGAAAATAATTTGAAAAAAACAACAATTGAAACTTCATTTTTTATTTATAGACTCAAGGAATTGTCTATGGAGAAAAATGCTCTGATAAACTCATTGTAAACTATATGCCAAGCTCCAAACGGCTTACAGACCAAGTTAGCAACTACAGTAGCTGGTGAACATAGTTTAGCATTTTGCAGTTGGTAGAGAACAAAACAGAGCCAATAAAAGAGTGATTACTGAAACTTCCGAAACTATAGAAGAAAGACGCCTTCAAAAATGTCAATGCTGATTTGTTCATGTTCAATGTTTAATTGGGCCACCTTTTACTAACACATTCACAGAAACAAAACAAGTAAAGGTTGTGTTTGAATCTCCCTATTACAGGTTCTCTTCACAGTTCATCAGGTAGAACGTGTAACCCACATTAAAACATAGTAAGCATAAAGTCATTCAAAAGTGATTTCATTAAAGGATACACGTTTGATAACATTGACCAATCCCTTTAAAAATAATAATAAATAAAAGTAGTATGACAAATTACAAGGTAGCCTACTGTTCCTTTAAGGGATCTTTGCTCACCACGCGTAGCAGGAGAAAAGAGAAAACGGAGCAAGACGCAGATGAGACGAGCGGAGTAAATGTATTAAAAGTAGGGCTGTCAAACGATTACAATTTTTAATCAGATTAATCACAGCTTAAAATTTATTAATCATGATTAATCACCATTCGAACTATGTCCAAAATATGCCATTTATTTATGTATATTATTGTGGGAATGGAAAGATAAATGAAAGAAGGCGGATGTATCCATTTAACATGCAGTATCTATGTTTATTATAACATTGTTCTGTGTGTCAAAATGAAAGACAACCCACACACCTATCAATCATCAAACCGTGGGGTCTTAATTCATTACGTGTTGATTTCTATCAACGGGGGAGTACTTCAGGAAAGTCGGGGGGGGGGAGGGGGGGCTAGTGGAGTACTTCGTGACCACAGAGTGTGAACGTTGTGATCAGCTTTTTTAGCGCAGTTCTCCAGTGATGGGGGGGGGGAGTCTCCCTCCGCAGCCGGTTGGCGTAGTTAACAGCAGCCCTGTCTGTGCACACGGAGACCGACTCTGTCATCCGGTGATCTAACCGCCTTCTGGAAAAGCTTCACAAGTACGTCGGTACGCAAATGCGCTTTGTGACACAAGTGACGGTACGCATTTCAGATTACGCACATAACCTGCGTACCAGTTATGTGCACCCCTGTACTACAGCAAAAGTATTCTCCGTCGGGACTTCCTGCAACAACACCACGCTGTTATCTTGATTCTGATTGGCCAGAAGACATTATCAAAGATGTTCTATTGAGAAGACGATCACTACGTGACAAAAGTTTTCAAAACCGTGGCTACTGAAATCAATCTTACTAACTGCTGTCTGTGCAATTTACTCAGCGCGAGTTGGCAGACTTTATTTTGCTTACTTTAACATCATTTTTCATGGTGGGGCTAAGCCATTTCTTGGTATGGGTGTAGCCTACCCCAGCCATACCCTGGCGCTGCCACTGGTGGCACGTATGGGGCGGGCCATTCTGCACATGCGTTAAATGCGTTAAATATTTTAACGCAATTCATTCAAAAATTGTATTACCGCCGTTAACGCGATAATTTTGACAGCACTAATTAAAAGTGATTCAAAGTTGATTTAAAAAAGATAAAAATACCATCCACACGGTCGGGAAACCCAGTAGACGGTATAGACCATTAACCAACGGTGTTTTGGTCAGGTTGTTTTGGACTGGATACAAAAGTTGATCGCGAGTGAGAGGACAACACACACACGCGCTCTGATACAAGATGGCGAGCCAGACCCACGGACTGCTTTGATCTTCGCGCCAGTGAAAGGACTTGCTGGTTTATCAAGAGACAATAGGCTCTGTGCACAAGATGGCGTCTATCAACTTCCGGCGGCTGGGTGTGCGGCTGAGTACTTCCGGTTTGAGTACAGAGTTTTGACAGCTTGACAGTTTGTTATGTCACACCGAGAGCAAGAATGAGCGGATTTCGGGGTAAAGAAAAGCGATTGGCCTTCCAGCGTGTAAGAAAGTCGGCACTACATTGCTGTGTGCCCCTTTGTACAAATTCGTCCCGTTATCAGAATCAGAATACCTTTATTAGTCCCACAGAGGGGACATTTGCAGCGTTGAAGCGGGAAAGAGCCACAGACAGCTTAGTGTTGAATATCTTACATGCGTTAAAAAGTAGCCTACTAAGTTATAATATAATAAACAATATGCTAAAAAAGTACTAAGTTATAATATAATAAACAATATGCTAAAAAAAAGATTAAAAGTTACATAATTTTCAAAAATACAGATAAAAAACAAATCAAATCTACAAATCAAATCCTGTAGCAGTTCTTAGGATTTAGCAGCCCGGTATATATATTACAGTTATTAAAGATGGCATATGTATATAAAGTATATATTGCACATAAAGCACATATTGCACATAGTTTGACGGTATTTAACAGCAGCAAGTTACACAATGTTATAATCGGGAGATAAGTTTCCATTCATTTCGGCAAGCCTGGGCAACAACGATTACAAGATGTCTTGCTCCCAAACCAATTGTGTATTTCATTACAAAAAGCAGTTATACCATACTATGTTTAGGTACTAATGAATTATATCCTCAAAACAAACGCACACATAAATAACAAAGGAAAATACATAATTTAATAAATCCACAATATGATAACATTTTACAGATTAATTTAATAAACTTTTACAAAACATAGGTTGATGTTATATCGGGGGGGAAAATACATATTTAAACATTTCAATTAGTCTCTGCATATTTAAGTAATGCTAGTTTATATAACAGATGAACAGATGTACAATATCCAGAAAGTAGATGCAAACAATATATATAATGTGTGCATTTCCAACATATCCTCTGAAAGAGTGTTAGTCGTTGAGTTGAGTAGTGAGCCATTCTTTTTTTTTTTTCGTGGTGCGATGTCTGCTGAGAAGTCCTTGTATGCCTCGCTGACTTTGAGGACATCTGGGTCTGGCAGCTCCCCCCCACACGGCCTTGTAACGTGTACTCCTTTGAACATGTTTATATGATAATTAGGACTTTAAGAAACATTTTACACTCGAACAACAATCACAAAGTTGTAGCAGGCTACATACAATTACTTAGGACAATAGATATGACCTTACACCGTCAGCAACTGTAAACTGCTTTGGCTTAGTGGAAGTGAACACCATGTCACTCACTCTGCCTGGTTTCACACCCTATTAATTACACAAAAGAATTGTCAAATTAATTGAAAAGGTCGTTGATGCAACATACTAGATCAGCTCTTGGCACAAACGAAATACTCATTAAACCGTGGATTGGTTGTGAACACATACTGTACTTACCATGGTTCTTGGCTTGTGCCATCGCTGCTCTGTTTCAGTGCAGCTGAGGACAGGGACAGCAGCCAGGTTGAGTGTGGAGTAGTGTGCGGTCTGGAACAGCAGTGCAACATTGTGGTTGCAGAGTGCTGTTCCAGCTACACAGGAACACTTTGCCACTCCAATCTCCATAGGTGAGCAGTTCTTAAAACAAAATGTCAGTCATTTACATTTAGGACACTGCTTCAATGAGAAAGCTGAGAGCAGGCTGATCAGGCAAGTAATAGGTGTTGGAAAAGGCTACCATGTCAGGTTGTTAGTCACATCACATACACAGAAGTTCTGCTGTTTGGAATACTGTAATTTAAGGACATTCAAACAGATACGCTTGTATAGCCTGTCTCAGCTCTCTCAATGTATTATCTCAGGGGTACTCAAATACAAATCTTAAAGGTCCAAAATAAATGTTTCAATAAGACAAAGGTCCGTTTATTACGGTCATTCAAACTTTTAAACAATTGCAATTCTTAACACGAGGTTGCAAAAATAAAAATAATCTGTATGCAGCAGTTTTCATTGTTATTGTGTCTGTGCTTGACCCCTCAGAGTCGCAGTGTAAGAGCTGCACAGTTATGAATAAAGGCAGCTGCACCCTCTTTCATTCAGCATTCCCATTATTGCTTTATAAATGTCTTGCCCCCTTGTGTGTCCACTGAGGTTCGTCAGGCCCAACACATCTTCAACAAACTCCCCCTTTGCCTCATCATAACAACTCACAAACACCAGCAACTGAGCATTGTCAGTGGTGTCAGTGGACTCACCCACATCTAAGGAAATGCACTGTGCATTTTTTATTCCATCACAAAGCTGATTAATCAAATCACCAGCCAGTATTTATGTTCTTCTGGTTGCTGTGGAATCTGAGAGGGGCTTGATTTGACCTGTTATTTCCTCTTTTTGTTTGCCTTCAAACATGTTCTCCATCACTTCAGTCATGCATTCTTTTATACTTCAGTTATTATCCAGTGGAAAGTCCTTACCTACTGGCCTAGTTAAATCAAAGTGGTTACTTTTTTTTGGCTGGGCAGTGTAGTTTTACACACCGTCTTATTTGACTTTCTCAGGATTTAAAACAGTTTTTTGGGGGCAGACCCCCACAAAGAAAAACATATATTTACACACGTAAGGTCATCATCTTAATAGTTTTGTATGCTCATCCGTGAGCAGAGCATCAAGTTGACATGTCTATTACAGCTGAATGCGGCTATTACCATTTTGTTCAGCAAAACGCCTCACAAACGTATTAAGATCAACAGCTTTAGTGCGTTTTGATTCAATGCTGAGTACAGCCAAACTGACAGTCTCTTCTCTGTCATTGTCGACCGCAAATACCTCATTCCTTCAGTGCTTGGGTCCGAATCGGTCAGAATGCTTCTCGTTTTGCGCCGTCCCGTTCAAATGAAATCGCCGCCAATCATATGTCCACGCTCGCGCCAGGACCGGGGGAGGGGTTACATGACGTGCATCTTGTGCTGCATTCATTTGCACTCGGACATTAGAGACTTTCTCTCATAAATGTCCGATGAGTCACAACTTTTCTTTCAAAACAAAGCTGCCAACTGGGGTGGCAGCTGGGGTGGCAAGGCCTATTTTTAGGGTGTCAGTTGCCACCCCGGTAGGTGAAACTAGGCCACTAGCTACAGTACAGATGGAACTAGATGAGCTGTTAACTCTCGCTCTGAATTTTTTTTTTTTTAAACTCTCGCTCTGACTCAGACAGGTTGAAAGAGACGAGACGACGAGACACACATTTTTCCCACCCGCATTCCGCGAAGACCCGCCCTACTGTGCCTCTGATTCGCAGATTGATTGGGGGGGGGGAAACGCTGACGGGATGCTGAATGTGATTGGACCAATGCGTTGACAGACACACACAGACAGACAGTGGAACAGGACATGCAGAGCGCTATTTGCAGTCTATGGACATAGCGGATCATTTTGACTCGTTGCGTTGTGGCGATGTCTCGCAGATAACACAGATAATACAGATAATACATATGAAAAGTATAATTTGCTCAGAGTCCAGAGACAGTTGTGGTTCGGTCCGGATCCGGACCGGAGTCCGGACTTTGAGGATGCCTGTATTATCTTATATTATAACTACATAAAATAGTGTTAGTAAAACGTTGAACAGCTTAACATAGATGTAGGGTACAAAACCAGCACTTACCAAACACTGGCCAATACAAATAATTGGACCCTACATGGATTATACTAACCATTCAGTAAAGAACAGCAGCCGTCACAACCAGTTTCTGGGGTTTCCATGAAAGCAGAGACGGTTTTCAACCTCTCATTAAGAATCTTTGATGAAAGCTAAGTTTGGGTTTAGCTCATTTTACACGAGAGGGTTACAAAACGAATATAAATCTGTAGCCCCTTCATGCTACAGACACATAGCTAGCTACCAGTTGATGTGAGCAAATGTATTGTCACTATGTAATCTGTTGCAACACGTCAGCTAGCTAGGCTTATTTGAATCCTAAATCACAGGTTACCTACTCTTGCCACATCAAAACCCCAGAACATGAACCTGATTGAGGCTTTGAACCGATTAACACTTTTTATTTTCCTCCCTACTCTGAAATCGTGAGGCTTTTCATGCTTTCTCATGGACCTGTAACAGCTAGCCCTGATGCTCACCAGACCCGGCGCCAGAACAAATCTAAAGGGAGGGCATATGATTTTCATGGGAGGGCACACAACACCGTCACGTGCTGTGCGGGCCTGCGGCACAATATATATATCAAACAGCAAGGCCAACACCATTGCGTAAAGACGCACACTTATCTCAAATACATACACAAATAAAGGGCAACATAGAAACCACTTTTGAAACATTGTGTGCGTGGCAGCACAAACACTGGTAAATCACCAGCAAGGCACACTGGTTAAGGATGGCAGCTTCCTCATCGTTGCACTCGGAGAGAAATAGTAGAGACGGAGACGATGAGCTGCTGTTATCTCTATTATGGCATTTTGCATGTCGTGAGAGGTGTATGTTGCTTTGTGGGGAATGCTTTCCATTATTTTGGCCAACTCTGCATCTTTGTACTGCAGCGTATACTCAAACAGCGATAGGAAGAGTCCACTGCCTGAATCGGACATGCTGTGGAGTGAATCGTGGTCACCTCTGAGAGGGAGTTGGTTGACAGCTAAAAAAGCTATAATATCAACGACAGCTGACATGTAATAACGGTTCCGTGCCAGCTGATCTGCACCAAAGTACTCATTTCCTTATTTGTTTCCTTGCGTATCTGTCTCTCTCTCCACAAGAACATGTGTTCTTTTGATGCGGCATGTCTTAGCAGTACTTTATCAGTCTGTAATGCGTGTTTCCAGTCGCAAAAACCTTTGACAGTAAAAGCCGCATCAGATGAAGACGTATTTACTTTAAACTGTCTACAGGGGAAACAAAAGGCTGCGTCTGCTTCTAACGAATATTCAAGCCATGGTCTGTTGTACCATGCAGCGGCAAAAGTGCGCTTCTTTCCTGAAAACAATCTCCCTGGAAAACGATCCAGTTTCACCTGGTTGGGTTTATTAACCCCAAGATCATCTGGGGCTGTTGGTCTTTGAGCGGTTGCTGGCCCATACCTGTTGATGTGCTGCAAGGTAGCGTCTGTGGAGGCACCGGCACGGAGGAGGAGGAGGATGCTGGCGGGTGTGGTACAGGGTGTGGCAACGCAGGTGGTGATGGTAGGGGCACAAGGAGCTGTGCCTCGGAGGACAGCGTTGGTGGCGGCCGCCTTGATGAGTCAAGGCTTGGGCTCGCTAACTCAGCCCCGGGGTTTGCCGAGGCAGAGATGGGGACTCGAGTCGCACTTAAGTCGCACACACAGAGACTTCAGACTTGACTTGGACTCCTGCTCAAAAGACTTCGGACTCGACTTGGACTCGTGTTTTGGGACTCGTGAACAATCATTGTGTTTTCTATTTTTGGCGTATTAAAGGTGGGGTAGGTAAGTTTGAGAAACCGGCTCGAAATTGCTAGAATTTGAAAATACACAACCGGAGAAAATCTGCCACTTCCTCACAGAGCCCCTCCTCCAACACACACGAACGCGCACATGACCAATGAGGGCACGAGATACGTTTGTGCCCCGATGGAAGGCTGACAGGCAGGTAGGCCATCCAGTTACTTTAGCTGGGCCGGCTATCGGGATGTTAAGAGCATTCCATGGAATATAACAAAAAGTGTATCTCGAGCCGGTTTCTCAAACTTACCTACCCCACCTTTAACATTAACATTAACATCATGGTAACACCATGGCGACCGGCGGCACACCTGCAGCTGTACCGCTTGTAATTAGGTTCAACTATAAAAACTTCGAACAAAACGCCGGCGGCACCAACAAAAGGAGCGCACACTGCAAAGTCTGCAATATTAAAATCAAGGATGCTGGTGCAACAACGTCAAATTTCATCAGGCACTTGAAAACTCACCCGGAGAGGTCAGTCACATTAACGCATATGGACGGTTAGCAAACATGTTTAGCTCAGCATCAACTATGTAATGTTAATTTAGCTTGCTACTAGCTTTGTAACTGAATATTTGAAAAGATGAGTGAATGTTTGCTTGTCACACTTGTTTGCGTTGAGTGGCGTTGACATCCAACTCTTGACATGACATAAAAAAGGTCAGTAACGTTAATCATTACGTTCCGCTGCCACCATCTACTGGCTAACGTTAAACGTAGAAAAATACATAGTTACATACATAAATACATCTGTCGGTTTATAGGCAGGTTACAGGTTTATTGTTGACCACGTAACGTTAATGTTACAGGTTTATCAGGTTACCATTACACTGGGTTTGAGTGAGAGGATAGAGGAATATGTTTATTTATAGTAGACTTAAAAGATGTAATTAGAGACCCAGCGTAATTAAACAATACGGTTGCAGAGGTCAAATTTTAACATTTTTGTCCACTGGCCAAATGGCTAGCCTAGTGAATGTTGACATTTTACCAGCCACTCAATAGATTGCCATTGTTATGTTTGGCTGGTGCGTGCAAC